AATTATTCTAGACTCGCAGGCAAAGTAGAATAATGTAGTCGTGAAATAGCACTATTTTCCCGTTTTTCCGTTGTACACTCTAGGTATTATCCGCTCTTGATAATATAGTGATTAGTGTGATACAGATATAGAGCTAAATGTTCACTTGTTCGAATTATAACTCTGTCCTTTGTTCTTACCTACCACCAGAGATATCTCGTGAAATCCTGCAGGAAATATTCTCTCTGTGAAAATGTAAAGAGGACGAGATGTCTATTTATACATGAGTAATGGGGTGCATTGCATGCCGGGATGAGCTGCAGTGCTGCTTGCCTCCGAGCTTCGTTTCGAGGCCCGCCAAGCCAAGCATAATGCGCGCGGGCATGACGTCACACACACGACTACAGTGATTTGTCGAAAGATCGAGTAGCGCTGTTAGGGATTTTCGGATGATACGTCCGCTTTACATTTTCACGGAGAGAACATTTCATGCAGGATTTCACGAGATATCTCTGGCGGAAGTAGGTAAGAACAAAGGACAGAGTTATAATTCTAACAAGTGAACATTTAGCTACACATAGATACCAAGATGGAGGCTATTGTTTGTGTATTTGTTTTGTAATCGTGTGAAATGAAACGAGTGTCGAGCAAATTTTGCGATCACACTTTCCTACCTGCTCTCTTATTCATGTTGTTTGTGCACAGGGCGTGCGTGCGGTGTACTTGTCTGTTGCAGATGAGCATTTGATGGCATTTACAGGTAATTATCAGCAATAATAAGCGAAATAGAGTAGAGAAACATTAAGACTAGTAGTAAATACATTTTGTGTTTATTTACCTTTTTTTAATTTTTATTGAGAGGTTCCAAGTGCCTGTGATGATTATAGAAATTTGTAGGTGCAATGTTTCCCCTAGCCAAAAAGGTCTGTGAGGTGGTAATTTTTTTGTGGTGTGTTTGCGCGTTTCGAGGTTCTAGCAAAGCGAGCACCGCATGCCGAATCAGTGCGTGGGTCGAGTTAACCGGTGCCCAATGCTACAGACTTAGGTGCAGAATTCCCAACAAAGTATAGGGTACTCTGTTGGGTTACATTATGCAGATGGGATTATGTACTGAGCTATACTGCAATCGTACCATTGACAGTACAGTACAGTCAGTGTTTGGCACATATCATTATAGCGCATACTACTAAGTATAACTAATACCTATTACCTCCGTATTTCAGCTGCACATCCTCGTACCGATTCGATAGTGAACCTAAATCCTGCCGCGACGCCACCGTTTTAGTCAACGCCAGTCATGCGCAGCTAAATGAAGTGAACAAAGCGAATCTCCTGTGAAAGCCCGCGATAACGATGCGACTAAAAACGTCGTTACTGAAAGAGCCGAAGCATCAGGACATTACGTGCTGCGTCGCCTGGACGTCCGCAGACGAAGTCTACTCTGTTAGCGACGACCATGTGATTCTCAGCTGGAACAATTTTACAAGTGAAGCTACAAAGGCAAGTACTGCTGAAACTATAGCACAAACGGGAGCTATAGTTAAGTAACTTTGCTGTACTGCAGTGGGCTTGGTAATACCAGTGAGCTAGGTTATAGTAGTTGTGAGTGATACTGTGATAGCCGTGTGTTAAACATGGGATGTGGATTTTGTGGAAAATGTAGTTTGTAACTAAATACAATTGGTATATATACCCAACTATATGGGGGTATATATACTCGAATAGAATTCGAGGTAGCAAATTGTTGTATGTAATATAAATCAATCAGTGTAGCATATACTTACTGCATTATCAACATTGAGTTTGTTCTTTATATTTCTTTTTTGATATAGATAACTCAACTTCCGAATGAGGTGTTTCCGACAGACATTCACTGGTTTCCCAGGACGACCGTCATGGGAAAACAGCAGTCGTCAGCTTCTGACTTCTTTGCTCTAACTGCAACTGATGGTTTGTGTTGTCTTCTCTGTACACATGGGTGCAGACTCATACATGTACTATAGTTATTAATTTAAAAAGCCACAAAATAGGGTTTATAATGTTATAATAAAAATGTATCTATTTTAATTTGTAAAAACTTATAAGGGCTATAAGTCTAGCGACTGCTATGTAATGCGGAGTAAAAGCAAGTCTTTTACATTTTTTGTGATAAGTTTATTCTTTGGTAGGGAGGCTTTATTTGGTGTCAAGGACTGGGAAAATAGAGAAGAAGGTTGAAGCACACAGGGGTGCTGTTTTGTCAGCAAGGTGGAACCACGATGGCACAGCACTAGTCAGTGTCGGTGAAGATGGACAGGTCAAGATATGGTCTCGTAGTGGCATGTTGAGATCCACCCTCAGTCAAAACAGTGAGGATTTTATGTGTTGTAATTCTATAAAATTTAACATCCTATTTTATTATGTAGCGAATTATATAGTATCTTAAATATTTGGTGCAAGTACAACCTCATGTAAATGCGTGATTATGTGGTTTTTGAATGTACATGATGATGAATTACATTTCACATCAAAGGTTATTCTAGTTAGTAAGTTCTTACTTTAACCTATTTTTGCAGAACTTAGAAGCCTATTTTGTATCGTGCTGGTGTCTGAAATTTGTGTTCATGTAATAATTTTGTCATCATAATATTACGTGTTGCAATGCATATGTTTGCAGGTACACCTGTTTACTCAGTGGCATGGGGTCCAGATAACAACGTACTGTATACAAATGGAAAAAACCTGATCATAAAGTCATTGCAGGCTGGGAATGCAAAACCCTTACAGGTGCAGTATTTCACGTATTTATATGCGTCATACCTTAATCTTCTTCTTTTTGTATTTCCTGTGTTAGCTCAGCTGATGAAGTCAGATGCAGCTTGTAGAATCGAGATGTTCTGTGCGTCCGTTGGTCGTGCGTCACAGTTGTGCCATCTTAACCATCGACTACGTATTGATTTCGGATGTGGGGGATCGTGAAATGACTCGAGCCATGGGCGATTTGGGGGTAGGGTCAAAGGTTCAAGCGGTGTCAATGAAGGGACATTTCCTCTTAATTAGGTATATGGAGGAATACGAATTGGCGGACAATTCAACAGCTCGACTCTCTTAATGTTCGATGTATATGTGGATGGGAGGGAAACCCATCACCCAGCGCGAAGGTGTGAGGTCACGGTCAAGGGAAGTGGGGCGACAAGGTCAGTATAGAATTTTTCAGGAATGGTCTAACAGACGGAGTGCAAAACTTTTTTGTTTCAGCGCTGAGCCTACATTTTTTCACTTTTAGTGAATACTGAAACATGAGATGTATTCGCTGACGGTGCGAATGAGTAGTGTTGATAACCTTTTGACCGTCAGCGGAGGGGTAAAACGGAATTTTTGCTTGTTTACAAGATGTGAACTGCGTTGTGTGGCATATTAGAGCCATCCACCGCCTCCCCTGCTCCTCCTCACCCTCCTCTCCTCCACTCCCTAACCCCATTCCCACCACCCCTACGCGCGCGCTCGACGCATATCTGAATAAGTCATTAAAGTTACACAGCTGTATCTTTGATTACTGTTTACCGGTTATAGCAAGGGGCTATATGATTCTTTATTGATCTGTTTTAGTGTTCTAGTATAATGCTCTGAGCGCGAACGTGGTGGCGGGAGGGCACACTTGATTCGGTTGCCAGTGAGTTTATCAGAAGAATACCTGGCTACAGTACACGTCAGTTGAGCGCTGTTGCTCTGCGGCACTTGTTTGGAGACAAATGATCAAAGAAAATCATGTGACTGTAGGTGTGAGATTTAAGTAATTGTAACTAATATTGATTCACATAGTGCTTGGATTGACTTTCATGTTGGCTTCGTGTCCTGTTGTTTTAGTGGAAAGCACATGATGGAATCATATTAAAGGCTGATTGGAATGCCGTCAACAACCTGATACTTTCTGGGGGCGAGGACTGCAGATACAGGGTAATATGAAATCAGTACTTTTATTTTTATGTACAGAAATAGATCACGTCGGTATTCGTTGGTTATCTTCTGTATCCTGTCTCAATACTTTAATTGGGTGAATGTACATGTGGCAGTGCATACTGTGTGAGCCTGGTTATATAGATTTCAGATCTCTGCCAGAAGATGGTATTAGTTAAAACTTCTCGTACTGAGACTAATTAGTTGGCGCATCTGCAGGAGTTCAATCACATCATAATTAAACCCTGCCTCAAAACTATATATGAGATAATAGGAGATGTGGACATCAGTGGGGATGAGGTGTCACATAATATGAGAAGTGGACATCAGATTTCAGATTCTATATCAGTTTCCACATAATTCTAACCCTGATGTAATTGGCAACGTTAGTTTTAAACGCATTAAGCTGTCACTGTTCGTGATAATGCATGCAGGGTATTGACAGGAATATCTGCATGGTTAGTTTTTGTTATTAACATAGCTGTGGATGCGTGTAATGCCTCCTGATTCTTGTAGGTTTGGGATAGCTATGGCAGACAGCTGTACTCTAGCTCCACGAGTGAGTATCCTGTGACATCGCTGGCTTGGACACCAGATGGCGAGCTGTTTGCTGTTGGATCGTTCAGCACACTGCGGCTCTGCGACAAGGCAGGAGTACGTAGAACATTGTTCGGCTTTACACTCGGGGGAAGGCATAGAAGTGGGATAGTTGTGTGATCCAGAATAAACTAATAGGATTAATTAATGTAAATAACCGTAAAGAAAATGTATTGAATAATAATGGGCTACATTATCTGTTCAGTTTAATCATTTCCTACATGTAGTGCATTTCTTGTGAGTTTCCCTCATTATTTTGCGATATTTACTCGTGAAATTTCACCCCATACCTAGGAATGTGCTCAAGCTACAGGCTTGATTGCCTAGTGCAAGAGAAGTGCAGTTTATTTATCAAAGTTAATGATTTCTCATTTAGAGTAAATGATTACAGATTGTAGGTGCTATTGTGACAATATTTATGAAAGGTTTCATTCGTTATAATTTTTTTTTAATTTCTGAAAGACAAACACTAATACTCTACAGTGGGTTTTAATGTACACAGAAGATGTCGAAAGAATGTTTAGGATAAAACCGCTGGGTATACAGTGTTTTTTTTATTGTTTTACAGTTAATTTTATCAATATTATTTATCAGATTTTGGGCATGTTTTTTATGTTTGTTGTTACAGTGGTCACATGCACTAGAGAAACCTGCTACTGGCAGTATATTCAACATCGCATGGTCAGTCGATGGTACACAGATGGTTGGGGCATGCGGAAATGGACACGTCATATTTGCACATATTATTGAAAGGTGTGCATCCACTTTATGTAGAAGTAGCGTACAGTTTCTGGAATCAATGAAAAAATACAATTTCTCGTGCAAAACGCTGTGTAATACAATGTGTATCTTTGTAGTCGACTCCTAGGTGTTGTCAACTGGCCAGCCCTTCATTAGATGGTTTATTTCCAATTGCCACTATTCCCAAGGATTAGCGATCAACTTCACTGTCGTGATGTTCTTGTAACCATCAGGTTTTACAGTAATTATAGCTTTTATAATAGCTAATTATAGCTTTTATACCTCTAATACCTTCACATTTTACAATTTGCTTGCATTTCAGGAGGGTTGAATGGAAGCAGTTTGAGTTGGTCGTTGCCACGAGGAAGACGATCCTCGTGCGCAACGTCACCGATGACTCGCGCGAGAAGCTCGACTTCAGGGATCGCATCGTGAAGCTGTCGATGGCCTTCAACCACCTCGTCGTCGCGACGACGTCTCAGTGTTACGTGTACAGGTGAGTGAACGATGCAGTGCGGTGATCGAACAGTGCGGTGATCACGCGAACGAACCCGCAAAGAGGAGTTTTTCACGCAGATTGTTGGCGTGCATTCACACCTTTGGACGATGTTTTTCCCTGAAGTTGTCGAGTGCACGTACTAAAAGCCTAGTGTTTCTTAAAGTCATTGGAATTTGCGGTACCTGGTGTGAAAAGTCCTACTCGGCTAATAAAATTCTGCATGTTTGGTTAAAATGTCCGAGTCTCATTGCAAAATGCTAGTCGTTGTTAAATATACATAGATAATGGAGTTTATTAATAGTTACTAATCAATGTTATTATTTTAAGCATATAGCCAACAGCAAGTTGGACTCGTCCGATACATTTTGCCAAGCTTTATAACGGCTAGATAATATTTAGATATGACAGTAGTAATAATAGCATTGTCATCGTTGCAGCTCGAAGAACTGGAATACGCCCATGATCTTCGATCTCAAGCAGAGCGTTTCGCTGATAGTCCAAGCCGAGAAGTAAGTAAAAACCTGCGCGCAGACGCTCAACCGATCAGTCTCAGCCTCTCAAACACTCAGCCTCTCTCCGCGACGGCGCTCACACGGACGAGTTGCGGCTGAGTCGCGCCGCGCCGCCGCGGAACATGTGCTTCAGGAGCGCGGCGACGACGTCCGGCCGCCCGGCAGCGTACGCGACGTGCAGCGGCGTGCCGTCGCCGCTGGCAACCACGTTCGCATCGGCTCCGTGCTGCAGCAGGGCGTCTGTCGTCGCCGCGTCGCCGCGCCGCACCGCCGCGTGGAGCGGGGTGCGCCCGCCCGCCGCCGCCGCGTCCACCTTTGCGCCGCGCTCGAGGAGCGCGCGTGCGACGTCCGCGTCTCGCGCGATATGCAGCGGCGTCTCGCCGCGCGCGTCAAAGCGACCCGGGTCGGCGCCATGTTGCAGCAGCACGTCCACGACCTCGCGACCTCCCGCAGCGGCGGCGGCGTGCAGCGGGGTGGCGCCGCCGGTGTCGGCGCGGTCGACGGCGGCGCCGTGAGCGAGCAGCAGGTGCGCGACCTCGACGTGACCCGCCGCGCACGCCGCGTGCAGCGCGGTCACGTCGTTGCCGCCGGCGACCGCGTCCGCGTCGGCCGAGCGCCGCAGCAGCAGCTGCACGACTGGCGACTCGGCCCGCGGCGGCGTGCAGCGGGGTGGCGCCGGCGTCGTCGCGGCGGTCGACGGCGGCGCCGCTCGCCGAGGAGGTGCTCGGCGATGGACGCGAAGCCGCCGCTCGCAGGCGAGTTGCGACGGGACGGACTGCCGCTGCTCGCCGTGGCGACGTCGACCGCCGCGCCGCTCTCGACGAGCAGCTGCACGAGCGCGAGGCTGTTGTGTTCGACGGCGATCACCAGGGGGCGCTGCCCGTGCTCGCCGCGCACGTTGACGTCGGCGCCGTCGGCGATGAGCTGCCGCGCCGTGTCGACGTCTGCGTTTGTGCAGGCTGTGCAGAATCGACTCGTTAGGTCGGCCGGTTTCGTGGCTTCATCTCCTCCTGCCTCTGCTGCCATTGCCCCGGTGTGTCGCGGAATGCTGGCAGTGTGACTGTGGCAGATAGCAAGCTTGGTTCTTAATGGGTCATGGCAATTCATATCTCTATCCGTCTCTCTCTCTCGCTCTCTCTCTCTCTCTTCTCTCTCTCTCTCTCTATCCCCCTCTCTCTCAATCTCTCTCTCTTTCTCGCTCTCTTCTCTCTCTCTCTTCTGTCTCTCTCTCTCACACTATACATATATATATATATAATAAGCACGGACGAAGTTTAAACATAGAATTTTCCCTCGTCCTAAAGTAATACATTTTTATCTGATTTCATGTTTACTAGCAAAAAATTGGTGGGACGTCATCTTTAACTTAACAAAACATAGGAAACATTAACTTGGTGAACATTTGGATCAGTCTCGTTGTTATGATGTAATAATATAAGCTTACCTTATCGACTCGGTTGCTCTCTGCCGTTTTCTGTAGACGTTTCCAGTAGCTTAATGATCTATTCATGCATGTTGGGATAAGAGGATGTAAGTTCTGCACACCTATGTAGCAAAGGAAGTGAACGTCTAGCTTCACACTCAGGCTGAATTTAAATGAATATCCTGTCGATGCACTGGTTTGCCTCAGGCAAGCAGGCATATATATTTCCTTTCATAAAAGGAAGTGTGGCTCGTTTGAGTATATACAGTGTGCATGCTACAAAAAGCAAGCATCGTATGGTAGAACACCTGTTGCTGCCGGCGTAGACTTACTAGGGTATATCGTTTACACGTGTACACAGATATATGTATGTCGTACGTTATCAGTATCAAAACTGTTTACCACGCAAATATTTTGACCCCTTTATGTACATAATGCTCTGTGCACACTGTGTACGTTTGATATCATATACCAGATGAAACACCTATATGCTCACTGGAATAATTAGATATCCATTCATAATACTTGTGTTTTTATTGGTGGTATAATTATTAAACTCTTTCGTTTTGCATCCATCATGACTAACTGCGTGGGCAACTTATGTTAAATATTTACCTGTATAAACTGCCAACACCTATCACTCGGGGTTAGACAACTAGTAATAAAGCAAGTAAGAAGTTTTTTAGGGACAGATCGACATTTCATTCACGAATGTCGACTTTCAGGCACTTCCTGCTCGTGGATAGCATTGGAATATCGCTATACTCGTACGAAGGGCGGTTCCTGTCATCACCAAAGTACGTGGGACTGAGAGCAAATGTGCTGAATCTACAGACTGTCTCCCTCAGCAACGACACGGTTGCCGTCCGAGACAAGGCAGACGAGAAACGTGAGCTACACCAAAAGTAGAAACACAATGGCTACCGATCGTGGCTTCCCCTTTTCTTTGTAAAGAGCAGAGTACCATTCACCATATTCTTGCACGACATGTTTCCAATGAAATTTATGAAAGTGACAATTGTTATGCATGTTTATATACAGTCAAACCTGTACACAATAATTACTCAAGGAAACCCCCAAAAATGTACTGGATAGACAGGTGTCTGTTCTATAGAAGTGGTTTTCACTGTATATAACTGCCACGTAATGAAAATGTAAAATGTCAGGCACAACACAGGTTTGACTGTATTTGTATGTGTTGCATGCACGTGTGCATGCTTTCAAATCATGGAGCCATGCATGTCATCATCAAGTAAGACGGCATTCATGGTTACATGCGATTAAGCTGATTGAGTATTTTAGATGTTTCTAACAGTTTTTATTTCATTTCTTCAACAGTGGTGTATCTATTCGAAGCACACAGTGGGAAAGCACTCTCTGATAAGCCACTTGCTCACAAGGTTTGTATATGTGTACTTTGCTGCAATTACAATACGGACTAAGCTCTGTTATCCAACCATTGTTCCAATTAAAAGTTGAAATTTAACTCGCACTTATACAGTTATATGTATTGACGGAATTATGTATTTATATTTCGACTTGCCTTTCCCTGTGGCATTAGAACAGTATTAGTTAGTCTGATATGCAGACGTGTGCCCATGATGTGTTCTTGACATGTTTGTGTTGTATAACTGTGCAGATGGAGGTAGTGGAGTTGGCACTGGACCAGCATGGACCTATGTCTGAGCGACGGTTAGCCCTAATAGACAAGAATCGGGACCTCTATCTGGCGACCGTGAGAACATTTGGCACCGCTCATAAAGTCATGAAGCTAGGTAGTGTTTTTATAGCATTTTGCACTAATCATAAAATCATGAAACTGGGTAATGCTGTAAGAGAAATTCGCACCACTCTTAAGGTCATGAAGCTAGGAAATGCTGTCCGACCATTTGGCACCACCCCTAAGGTAATGTAGCTAGATAATGCTGTTCAAACCTTATAGGCACCACTCATAAAATTTTGAAGCTAGGTAATGCTGTTCAAACCTTAGGCACCACTCATAAAATTTTGAAGCTAGGTATTAATGCGTTTGTCTTGACTTATAAAATCGTGAATCTAGGCATAGTACTAAATGGCCTGCTTTGAGTTTCGTACATATTTAATAAAAACGTTTTGTGGGTATAGCCGCATAAACTATGACACAAAGAAAAATTCATTGCTCTGGCAATACAATACTCACGGATGTAATATCTAATGAATAATTCCTGTGAGACCTCTTCTTTTCTTGGTGCAGCTGTGATGATACAGTCGATGTCGTGGAACGATGATACCAACATGCTGGCTGCCCTGCAGGATGGCAGGTTTACAGTCTGGGTATACCCTAATACCGCCTTTGTCGACCAGGCTCTCCTACCAAAAACTATAACGGAGAAGGACTCGAGGTGCGTATTCACGACTACACACTAAATAATTTTACTAATAATTAATTATTTATTTATTTAACTAAAATAAATAATAATAATTAACTAATAATAAATAATAATGATTAATAATTAACTTCGACTTAACTCGATTAAACTCGACATTAATAATAATAATTAATAATTAATTAATAATAAAAGCTTCGACACTGTCTGCTACAATGTGTCGAATTGTGGTCTATTTTCGTTCTTTCTTGCTTATCTGTTCGTTTTTGCTCGCTTTTGTTCATGTGTGTCATGTCTAACATCGCTTAATTTCGCAGCGAGTTTGGCAAGAACCCGTTCATCATCAGTTTCCTGGGCAACCACGTCACGTTGAGGCGCGTCGATGGTTCGCTAGTGACGACGGGAATCACTCCGTACCCGGCAATCCTGCATGGCTACGTGTCCAGCGCCCACTGGGACGAGGCTGTCAGACTCTGCCGCTTCGTCAAGGTACGAGTCAATGTCGCCGCATATCCGTCGTAGAGCGGCTGTGTAGACCGATCTGCATGTACTCTGGTTGTGCAGTCGGTGGCTTCATGAAATACCACACCAAAATATTGAAACTTGGCATATTATTATTGTTAAAAATTTTTTTAATTGAGCTGTTTCATCAAGTGCCCCGATATTTTGTTCAATCTTGTCGTGTAATAAGACGTGCTGTTTTATTCAAACGACAGCCCAATATTATCAGGGATTGATATAATGACACATTTGTCATTATTAACTCGTGATATTATGTACCACTGGAGATTTACTGGTTTGTCAATCAGTGTAAACCAGTCTGTATTATATTACGTAGGTGTTAGCCGCGTGTAATTTTAATAGTCACTGTGTTCACATTACAGGAGACATTTCTATGGGCGTCGCTCGCAGCAATGGCTGCATATGCGAAGGAGTTGGCGACTGCAGAGGTTGCTTATGCTGCAATTGATGAGGTAAGCATTCTTACGTCTCATAAAGAAATTCTTGATCAACCCCCCCACTCATGATCAGGTCGTAACAGAATTTCTGATTACCCTCCTGAATGTCATAAAGACATTCGTTGGTCAACCTTGCCACAAGTCACGGCAGCACCAAAATTTTACAAATAGTCCCTCTAGATGGCATAAGTGTGTTGTTGAGCACTGCAGTTTTTCATATAAGGACTTATATCCTTATAAGATATAAGTCTTATAAGGACAATACTTGGTGCATCAGCAATGCAGTTCTTGTTTTGAATGGTTTATTATGAAGTCGTTCAACGTCATTGAGTAATTGGCTGAATTAATAATAGGTGTGATAATCTTGATACTTTTCCTATACTATTACACCTTTAAAAATTAAAATTGTTGTTAAATCACAGCCAGGTGTATTAATACACCAATAAATAGAGATAAAATACATCTAAACCTTCTTGACCATGATGGAGATGTATGTTTGTGAAAATCTTGAGGCAGCAATTAAACCGATCCAGGCGTAACATCAACATTATGGTTATTTGGCGGCACTTAAGTGCTATATTCCGAGTCTCTTGCTGTCTATCCACCAGCTACGCAGCGCGCATATGATGTACATATTCGGTTCATTCTGTACGCATCATGCCATTAGTACATAGGGAACTTCAGTGGTGAACCCTCTGCATATTTACAGTCTGGTACGGTAATCTACATCTAGAACATTAAGTACATAGTACTGTACATTAGTACGTTAATGCAAACACTAGTACATTAGTACATAGGGAACTTCAGTGGTGAACCCTCAGCATATTTACAGGCTGACACGGTAATCTACATCTAGTACATTAAGTACATACAGGGTTCGTAGCGGGTCTTCCAAAGTCTTATAAGTACTTATTTGGCCAAAAATAAAATAAGGGCCCTTATTAGTACTTATTTTTTTGTGAAATCTTAGAAAAGTACTTAATAGTCCTTATTTTTTGCCAAAGGACCATTTTTCAACATTTTCTGTGTTGAATTCCGGCGAAACGGCTGTGCAATTGTGTATATAAATATTATTAGTGTACTTTAATAGTCGGTGATCTATCAGAAATCGCGTAAAAAAGTCTTATTTTGGCCTCCAGAAAGGGTCTTATAAGTCATTATTTCAACATGTGTCTTACTACTATGAACCCTGACATAGTACTGTACATTAGTACGTTAATGCTAACACTAGTACATTAGTACATAGAGAACTTCGGTGGTAAACCCTCCATGTACTTACAGGCTGACAAGGTGAACTACATCCAGTACATTAAGGAGCTGCCGAGCAAGGAGGCGAGGAATGCGGAGATGGCGCTGTTCGGTGGCAGCCCGCAGGATGCTGAGGGCATACTGCTGCAGGGAGGGCTGGTGTTCAGAGCGATCATGATGCACATCAATCTCTACAGCTGGGACCGGTGAGACACAGCCCAGTTTCCGTCGTGTGGTTGAGGAGTGGGAATTTCGGTTTTATGAACAGCAGCACACGTAGTATAGTCGTGTAGATTCGAGGCAGAAAATCGCACACATTTTTTGGGTGAAGTGTTTTTGCAAGCAAGGTTGCAGCATGTATGACCTCTTCCTCACATTACAGGGCGCTCGAGCTGGCTCTGAAACACAAGACTCACGTTGACACAGTACTTGGCTTTAGACAGAGATATCTGGTGAAGTTCAACAAGTCTGAGACAAATAAGCGGTTTCAGCAGTATGCTGAGGGGGTACGTATTTTCATTAGACCTATCTGATCGCTTAATCAAATGTACGTTCTATATATGTATACAAGGATGTTCACACACGTGGTATGTCTGTATTTGCTGAAAATGATGTATCACAGCTGGTTGCCCTAAACAGAAATGTCTGTCAAAAGTTCTGCATTTGTTCGAAAGGTAGAAGCCTTTATATACATATACAGTCTCTCAGTCATATTGCTGTGTGGCAACTGAATCGAACTTGAATGTTTACTGTGAAGCATGAATTGTGATGAATTGAAATACGAAGAATGAATTACGATGAATTGTGAGCATTTTCAATTGATATCGTAGCATTCCCCCACCCTACCCCCACCACAACTAAATTTATATCATATTAGCTGTGTTCGTCGTGGTCCTCTCTTCACATTGTGTCTGAGAGCAGGCTCGTTCCATGAGGGTTTTCCATGATACGGGTCTCCTTGGAGTGGAGCACCGCTAAGGCTTAGAGTGACAGGCCCAGATAAACGCACCAGAATGGAAGAGCTTAAGTGCTCAAGCAGCCAGCACGTAGACACCCACACACGACGCAAAACGAAATAACATGAGATAAGGGAAGCAGGGAAAAGAGACCGCAGTTTATTAAACACAGCAGTTGGCGTTGAGGTTTTTGCAGTATGCATGGCGTCGTCTCCCCGTTATCTGGATACAGACGCAGCCCTCTCCCATAATACACGTGCACTCACAAGCAGTACACAGAACGTGTGATTATGACAAATCAGATCGGCCATTGGAGTCACCCGAAAGTCCTCCACAGAATACCATAACTCGCTACTCACAAATGGCAATGAACGTGCGGTGCTGGTTCTCCAGGGTTAGGGAAGGCGTTGGTCTCCCCCTAATTCTCTTGGCCTACATTCCCCTGCACCCGACACTCAAACTTCTTCTCGTGCTATCTTGACTGCGCTACCCTAATCTTCTGAATATGATCTGGTGGCGCTGCCTAGTGGCCACGAACTCAATCGTTTGTGGTGTTCTTCTCACACGCTTTCACTCGCTTCTGTTAACTCTGTCAACTTCTGTCAACTCTATCAACTTCTGTCAACTCTGTCAACTTCTGTCACTCACTTCTGTCAAGTTTTCTTTTACTCTCTCGACTCCATTTGTCACGCAGGCCAAAATTGTCAGATGACGTGACAGTGAAAGTGTCACGTCATGTGAACCGCATTGTTTCGTTGCCTCACGGTTCCTGGAAACCTCACACATGTGCATCTCTCAAATCAAGCTTGCGCGAGAATAAAAGTAAAAAGAAGCCTCTTGTCTTGAGCGTAACAGCCCCGGGTGTCCCTGCGAAGGTGCCTAGCATGACAGCCCAACGCATTCTGTTACTTATCAACACTGCCCTCCCCCCAC